GAAAGGGAGAAATAAAACCATAATTCACAAACAACCTGTATGTGTACAACTGATTGATGCTGTAAACTATTCAAATTAATAAGTACTTATAGCATAATAGCTGGATACAAGGCCAGGGAACAAAGCTCAATTATATTTCTCCAAATAAGAATAGGTAAATAGAAAATAAAACTTCAAAAATGTACTATTTATAACAATAACATTTTTCAAAAAATCTGTAGGAAAGCATTGTTAAAAGCCTCATACTCGTTACCTTGAAAATTACAAAACAATACTAGCAGATAAGAGCAGATCTTTCTTGATGAGAATTGTTCAAAGAAACTAAAGGCTTAAATAAATGGAAAACTATTCTACAATCATGGATTGAAAGACTCGATATAGCAAAATAATTAGTTCTCTACAAACTAATATGATAAAACTGAGTTAAAACCATAGAATAAGTTTTGAGAGGGAATGATACATTGATTTTCAAATCTATATTTAAATGCAAATTGTCAAAAATAGTATCTAAAAAGAAAAGTGAATATGAATGAATTTTATTGACCAACAAAACAAAACCTAGCACTACTTGCAGGTTCACTATTGTAGCAATAGTTTTTAGAGTATAAGTCTCTGAACTCTCTTTTTGTCATAGATACACTTTTTTTAGGAGACTTGAAATGGTAAATGAATTTTCTGTTTCTATATTAATCTTCTGCAATGCATGAATGTCTTTCTCAAGGTCCTAGAAGCTATCTCTTTGAACGATTATCATCAAGAAAGATCTGCTCTTATCTGCTAATCTGTATTGCATAGTAAGGTAAGAGCCTTAGTTCAGTAGGTACCTATAAGCAAGCACTAATCATGTTCTAATATTATTGACTGTAAGCATTATGCCCACCTTTGGTCCTCAGCTCCACCCAGACCTGCTGGCCCCTTCCCTTATCCACCCAGACTCACCTGAGCTCCCATCTACATCACTTCCGATCTCCCAGACCCTGCTGCTACCTAGATAGTGGAGGCTGCCATGTGCTCTCTCTCCGGGGGAAATATGGCTCCTCTAATAAACCTTGTAATAATCTTTCTCCTGTGCCTGCCTGCCTCCGTATGGTCCCCTGGCATGGATGTGATGGATCATTTCCAGGATCCTTTCATTGACCATCCAACCCCCACACATTTCCTAGAACTTTTCCCGAGTTCGTATTAGTGCATGAACTCCCTCCTGGTTTTCATTCAGTGTAATACAGTTTAGTATGTTTCCTAAATTCACATATGTAACTATGGCATGATCCCTCAGCATCAGCATCTACTGCATACTTATTCTAGTATGCTCTTTATATACTAAAATGTAAAGATGCTCAAATTATTTACAGAAAATGGCATAGTATCTGAATACTGCCTACATGTCTGCTTACCCCTGTATATTTTGAATTACTTATAGACTACTTATAAATACCTAATGTTTTATTGTTTGAGAGATCAGAGAAAAAAATGTAGCGTTCAGGGCAGGCATAGTTTCTTTTTTAATATCTTTGATTTGCAGTTGGTTGAATCCATAGATTTGAAGACCATAAGTAGACACATTTATATGGTCAATGAAGTTTTTCCTCAGCCACAAAAATGTAAAACTGCTTCATTCCCTGAGCTTTTGTTTTTATTTTTCCAAGGTGAAGTGGGGAAATCAGTGATTGGATTTCATGTAAATAAAGAGCAATGGAGAATGAAATGAGGAAACTGAGTCTAAATACTGTCACAGCCATCCTGGTGCCTACCAAGTGCTGAGAGCTATTGTTTTCACAGTTATCCAAGCACCCAGCCCAGAGATGGTGACTGTCTACTCAGCTCCAAAGCCTAGAGGTGAGACAAGCCATCCTTTGTATTGCAGATGCCTGGCTCAATGGGTAGAGCCAGGAGGACCCATCTTTGGGGAATATGTAGATGCATTGTGTTGTTTAGCCCCGGGGAAGCCCTGCTCATTGTCGGGTGTTTATGTACAATGCTTTTCTGAGGCTTGGTCTCCAACCAACATGTGGCCTTTGTCTTTAAAAGTTTGGTGCAAGCTTGGTTTGGGGCTGCAGGTCTTGGTAATTAATTGGCCACCTGCAGAACCCTAGCATTCCAATAATGACCCCAAAATTCAACCTTTCAAATGTGGTTTCTCTATTTTTCATGACTGGATTTATATATCTGATTTAAGAAATAATTACCATATAACAGGTAAACATTTTAACCCATACCCCCAGCCACCCCTATCTACCCACACCACCTTTTTCTATATAGCTGTGTTAATTTAATTACCTTTGGTTTAAAGCTGCCTCCATAATTGTTTTTCTAAGCCTAATGAACTATGACCTAAGACATAAACTGCAACCTAAACTTATGAAAAGTAGCAGAGTTTCAGCCAATCACAAAGAACCAACTGTTCAACCAATGTTCAAATTAGACACACAGGAGTTGTAATCTATCATACTGTCACCTCACCTGATACCTGTGGCTCATGCCTGTAATCGTAGCTACTCAGGGGGGGTGCAGATCTGAGGATCACAGTTCAAAACCAGCCTCTGCAGGACAGTCCATGAGACTCTTAACTCCACTTAACCACCAGAATTCCCAAAGTGGCACTTTGCCTCAAAGTGGTAGAACACTAGCCTTGAGCTGAAGAGCTCAGGGACAGTGCTAAGGCCCAGAGCAAGTCCCATGACCAACCAAAAAGAAAAAAAATCATACTGTCCTCACATTATCTCACTTCCACTTTCTTTACATCAGCTTTTTACTCTGGCTTTGTTCATGAAATAATACTTATTTTCTTAGAATATAAGCTCCAAAATGAAATCATTTAGAATTTGTACATAACTTATAGTCTAAGCTTTTTGGTTAGCACCTTCTAGATTATGCATATATGTATGTATGTATGTATGTATGCATGTATGTACGTATTTTTATTTTTGTCAGTCATGGGGCTTGAACTCAGGGCCTGGGCACTGTCTCTGAGCACATTTTGCTCTACCACAGCACCACTTCCAGTTCTCTAGTGGTTCATTGAAGAGGAGACTCTCACGGACCTTCCTGCCCTGTCTGCCTTTAAACCACGATCCTCAGATCTCAGTCTCTTGAGTGGCTAGGATTAAAGGCTTCAGGCACCATCACTTGGCAATATGTATTTATTGAAATCATGAATGAACACTGTTTTATACAGATTATATCAGATTTCACTTAAGATCCCCAGTGAAGGCCTTACTTGAACTGGAGGAACTGGAAGTAAAAATCATATTAGTTATTTTCCTTTCCCTTATCTCCTTTTCATTCTGTACTTTTAGACATTAATCTAGAGTATCTAGACATCATGTGGTAATAAAGAGTTGTCAAATATAATGGTATAGAAAGGGGAGAGCTATAAAGAGGAAGCTAGCTAACATCTATCAAGAAGAGGTAGTCCCTAACCCTTATCAAAGGGAAAGGCAATAATAAACAAATAAATATTGAGTTTCTATGAATTACAGGTAACTACTCTATAACAACTATTTTAGTTGTTACATTTGGGCAAAAGGAGTAACAGGAGAAAACTCAGCTCTTGGGAAAATTATAAAGCAAGTTTCTATGGGTCATGAAATGGCCATTAATTTTCAGGTGTTATTTTAACTATTTTAACTGAAAATACTCTAAAATGTAGGAAACTTCCCTGTTCTAGTTAGTCAAACCAGTCTTTAAGTCCAAGAAACATCTGCTCTGCAGCTTTCTATTTTGTTTTCTGAAAATATCAGGGTAATGTTCAGTTGCCTATTTATAATTTGTAAGTATTACATGAAAACTATGGAATGCATTGAAATGCAGCACTTTGGTTGGTCAGAAATGTGTGCAATATAGAAATGAGCTATATTTGATGAAATATTATCATGGTTGATGTCATCACACTTTTTTAGAACCCTGCCACTTCATTGAAATGTAGGTAGTTAAAACAAGGTACGAGTATATTTTAAATGCACAGTTGTAGCAGTGTCCGATCTGTGAGTTTAAGAGTTTTTCTTTTGTCATTTAATGATTGAGAACAAGATAACGTTGCTGGAGATTGGCAGCCTATTTCAGTAACCAGAGGAAATGACATTTCCCTGGAATAAAAAACACACTCCACACAAAAAGAGAAGAAAACAGAGATAAGGTTTGAAGAAACCATGTTATAGGTTAGGTAGGAAAAACTATGTTTAGAACTATTTTAGGCTGATAAGCCATTTAAAACCATACTTATTGGATTCTTTGCCATATCTAAATTGTACCTCCCATCACAAAGGAGTACCACTTTTTGATGGGACCAATAAATGCTTCATAAAACAATCTGTAATTCTAATGTAATTGTATGTATAATCATTCAGAATTAATTTTTATGTTTCCTGAATGTTAATAATTTGATCTGTGTAGTATCTTTCTGGAGCTGTTCTTTTTACAGTACTCTTTACTATTCCCAATTTGGAAGATAAAAACATGATAAACTATTTACTTTATCCTTTCTTGGTATGTACTAATTACATTTCTAATCATATAAATGCTATAATATACTGTAACAAAGGTTAGAAAGGGAAGTAAAAAGCTACCACGGTTTAAAAATCCTATGTCCTTTATAAAGGTGGTACCTGAAGGGTTACAGGCATAAATACACTATAGGCACTTAATTTCCATTGTTTAATTAATTAAATATTCTTTTGAAAATGTTTTGTCCTCTTTTAGGCTGTAAGATAGAAGAGGAAAAACATAGTATTCCTCTAATACATATGATTCAACCATAATAAAAGTAAATGGACCTACATTTGTGTATGCTCACAAAGGCCAGGAAAATAGTATGAGCAGGCTATTTAAATTACTGCAAGGAAAATGTGCACACATAAGAAGTGATCTGAATTTGCTTTAACAAATACATTGTATTCAAATATCCATGATAAATTACATCTTAAATCATCTAACTTACATTTTCAAATTGAAATTAAATGCTTTGAAGGACATATTTCATTTATTCAAGAAAATAACCTGACCTTAAGTTGTTCTTCCAAAGCAGCTGTTGCATGATCTCCATTAGTTTCATCAACCACCACCACCATGTGAGTGAGGGAATTGACTCTGACTTGCTCTTGCTCTAGGTCTTCTTGAAGCACCTGAAAGATTTTTTTAAAAGGAAAGTAAAATGGTCTCCTCTGTACATTGAAAAGCCAGAAATATTTTTAACATTTTCTGTCCTAACCCTCAAGAAAATCTGTATTTTTCTATTTTCAATACAAATAGAAAATTCTAAAGAGTGGCCACACATTGAGAAAAGTACAGTAAAATGTTCCATTACTTATCCTATATCCTCTCCCCTTTGCAAGATATTGTTTTCAAAATTTACCTATATTGCTAACATCGTCAAGCTATTCTTTATTTAAGTTCTCCATTACCATAGAAATAAAATGAACTTTTTGTTGTGTTGGTCCTAGAGCTTGAGTTCAGGGTCTGGGAAATTTCTGCCCAAGGATAGCACTTTACCACATGAACTACAGCTCTACTTTTGTCATTTTGGTGGTTAACTGGACATAAGAGTCTCATACTTTCCTGCACAGGCTGGCTTGAAACCACAGTCCTCACATCTCAGACTCGTGAGTAGTTAGGATTACAAACATGAGCCACTGGTACCTGACTTAAAAAATGGTTTTCCTTTCTTTCTTTCTTTCTTTCTTTCTTTCTTTCTTTCTTTCTTTCTTTCTTTCTTTCTTTCTTTCTTTCTTTCTTTCCTTCCTTCCTTCCTTCCTTCCTTCTTTCTTCCTTTCTCTCTTTCTTTCTTTCTTTCTTCTTTCTTTCTTTCCTCCTTCCTTCCTTCCTTCCTTCCTTCCTTCCTTCCTTCCTTCCTTCCTTCCTTCCTTCCTTTCTTTCTTGTTACTCTTGCCACTAAGTAATTCTGCTATTCATTTTTTCTACTACCACATTGAAACACATCTTTTAAAGGTTGCCACTAACTCTCAGGTTTCCAAAGTGAATACTCAGTCTCTTTTCTAAGTTTTACCTTTAGTATCATTAAGTAGTTGATAAAAAGTTTGAAAAACATTAAATAAATTAGTTTACAAATATAATGAATATTGATCAATGTCATCCCTTTTATAATTATTTCCCATCCCTCATAACCCAACCCCAACCCTCGATTTTCTAAAGTTCATAGGATATGTGTCATATATATATATATATATATGTATGCATTTGTAACTGCATTTTCCCCTTGCTTACTCTCTTTATTCATCTACCCCTCTCTCCTTGACCTCTCCCTACATACCTTTCAAGTGCCAGTTTTCTGATATTCATATTGTTGGACTGTAAGTTTGTTTTTCTAAGGTATTACACAATTTGAACTCTTCCTTGCAAATACCCTTTTTTGGTTAATATGGTCATGAACAATTGCACACAACCCCATATATGTTACTTGTATATTTGTAAATTAGTTCTAGCTTCCATATTTGAGGGGAACCATGAATCCATTGTCTTCCTGGGCCTGACTTACTTCACTTTCAATTACTGCACTAATTGACTACTCTTTCATTCTTGGCACTCTCTTATCCAAAGTTTCATGTACCTCCCTCTCTGGATGATCCTCCCACCAGATTCTGTGATTGTTTTAAGCTCCTATGGCAATTCCTTCCCTTCTGTTCAAATTATAACCAGATGTTATTTTTCTGTGTAAAAGAATAATAAAATATCATTACAGTGAGGAAGAAAATCCAAATTCTTTGAATAAAATACTTACATGGTCTAGCACCTGTATACCTCAATCTAGCTGTATACATTCTTGCTGTCTCACTGTTTCTGACACGTTTGCCTTTGCTTTTCCATAATGTGCCAAACTGTTACTTCTGCCTGAATTGCATTGCTTCCAGATCGTTAAGTGATCTTTTCTTATTATTACTAAATAGAATTCAATTTAAGTGTGATTTTCCCAGACTCATAGTCACTATTCAGTACTTTCTAAAGTAATTAGTATAATAATGTGATGTTTGTCTACTGGAATATAAGGTCCACCAAAACAGAGTGGTTCTCTGAAATTCTCAATATGTATTCCCAAGCAATAAAGATCACCAAACTTTTATCAAATGAGATTGCTATGTGGAATAGTGTGAGGACAATATGCACAGGTAAGATTACAGAATGACTATAATAGATAAAGTATTGGGTTTAATTTTTAATTCATTTATAAATGCACCAAACTCAACAGAAAGAAAAAAAAGCATTTTTTAAAGAATTGAATATTGAGATTAAATGAGAATAATGCAAATCCTGGCTTTCCAAACTTATGCATTTAATGGTGAAAAGCCATTGTTTTCTCTAAAAAAGTAATGTCAAAATCAGGACTTCCACATGACATATTGTTCATAAAGAGAAACAAGAGTGAATAGAAAAGTAAGTACACATGAGTACACAGGAGAATCTGTATCTGGAACCAAAACATCCTGCTGAGGAGTTCCAGATGCCCTAAGATCTTATTCTACTACACTAATTACTATAGGTATTTCCTTGATAAGGTATTTGAAGTTCCCAATAAATGAGCTTGCATTTCAGTTTATTGGTTCTATAACGTAGAAAAAGAAGCATACTTGACATATGTCCTATTATTTTCTCGTAAACCTTCTCTATTTGCTGGGCATCTATCAGTCTAGTTCTTAGTTATTCAAATGTTATGCCAGTGCAAGGGAACTAACAGGATGGCTGCATCACAACCTCAATGTATGTGCATAGCTATTCTACAATATTTAGGTTTAAGGTGCAAATTTTTAGAACACTATGAAATCATTTCTATTTAGTTCCTCTCCTCTAGATTTTCACATACATTTTTGTACGAAACAATTTAGGATAAAATGACTCTGCATCTATTTTGCGTGTGGAGTCTATACTGTCTATCATGTCTCTGACATTCCAGAGCTTGCACTGGTGAATAAAACTCTTTTCTGCCATGAGGCCAAAAATGGAAACATTAACATTCAGAGTTGTCCTTGACAGTGATGTCAACTCTGTGTTTTCAGAGTTAGATAAGCCAGAATAGGGAACATTTATCGGCCAGGAATTTCTTGAATAATTAAAATAATAATGAGGTGTCCAGTAGATAATAAATTGGCTTCCTTAATTAAACCAATCATTTTTTATGTCACTCAATATAAAAATACATAATATGGAGAGTTTTATATATTTAAGATTATATATATGTAGTTACATATATTTTAAATTACTAGAAATGGAATAGTCACTGCATGATATATATAAATATTTTTCATTGTTTTGATACACTTTGGTAAAGGAACATTGAAATAATGTTGACTCAGGAAATCTCTACTTTCAAATTCTGATTGAATCTTTCTAAAGAATATGTGATCATATGTACTATTCATTTTTCTGGTACTTAGTTGTCTAATTTTGTTTTGCGGCTCTATTTGTTGAATCAGAAATGGCATATTTGCTATTTTGATAAAGGGTTTACATTTATGCTTTTGCAAATATGCTAACACAGAGTGACATTAATGTTACTGGTGTGTTGATAACTTTAAGATCAAAGACAAAAACCATCTGGAATTATAATGAGCAGATGGAAATAAAAGAATAGAAGAAAGGCTGTCCATTGTGACAAAAATCTTAAACAGTGAATAGCACTACAGATTAGTATGAAATATATCTGACTCAATGTTATTTTCAGTATCTTTTATTCTCTTCTATGACTTTTTAGAATCATATCTCTCCTTTCACTCCTAAAGAGAGATTAAATTTAAAAAGATTAAACTGACCTTTCTGGCCATACTTTCTACTTGCAAGACAAAAACTATTGTAAAATTTCATCTGTCCTCAGACTTCTACTCCAAATATAAATATGAGTGAATAATACAATATTAGCCAATTTCTCTTATATCATTAAGACAAAAATAATAAAAAATCCTATGTTCAAGATCCAAATTTTAAAACTTATAAAAGTACAAAAACTGTTTAGCACAAAAATCTGAGATAAAAATTTTAAATTCTTCAGAGTATTAATAATGATCTTGATCTTTGGGGTACAGAATATGTTTCTGCTTCCCTACTTGGATTCTCAAGGCTATTAATTTCTAAAACTCAAGTTTTGTCAAGTTATTTTAAATTTAAATGAAAACTTAGCTTAAATATTGACTTCCTTCAGATTTGAATTTCCCACAGCTCCATTTAGACAATAAAGATTAATAGATAGCTTGCTATTTAAACTCAAAACAAAAGTCAAATTACTTCTAAATATAGACATATCCTCAGAGAGTTACACCAGTTTTGACCATCAGAAGATAATATTTCAAGTCAAAATGCTATAATATGTAATTGTTAAAATGCATTTCATTGTTGAAATCTTATAGAATATATACACATATGTACACACACTAGCTACTTTATTATGCATTCCTTGCCCTTATTTTTATTAAAGTAATGCTTTTGTAACACCAGGTTAAAAAATCTATCATGCATCTAATTAAATTTCTATACCATTATTAGATACAAATGTCAGCGATGTTTGTTCTCTAATGTCAAATAACAATCCTTTTCTCCTTATGACAAGAGAAAAGGGCAACAGTGAAATTTAGCATTAAAAGTGCTTAGATTTGACAAAGTTGGGTTTTGTTACACCTCTGTAAATAATTGTCTTTTTCCTAAATAATTCTCTAGTTTAAGGATCTGACCAAATTTGTTACTCCCTTAGTACATGATCACAATTTTATAATTTAAATATGGCTTTTCTGCTACTTCCTTCAAATGTCATCAGTGGTATTGAATTTTGATTGTTCTTACTCAGGTCAAGTTGGTTTTCAGAAAGCAGTTTATAACAATTCCTAGAGAAAAAAATCCACTTCCATGTTAACTCGACCTATGTTATTTTATCCTTTCTTAGATGTATATGTAATAATGCTGAGAAAATGAAGATATAGAAACATATTAGACAACAAAAACTTAGGCTTTCAATTAGAGGTAAAGTAATACAGTTAATAGAAAGATAATAGCAAAAAAAACAAGACAAGATTGGGTCTCTTGCATGCTCTATGAAAGGATAAAGATTTTTTTCACCATAGATTCAACTATGAGGATCAATAAGACAGTGGTGTGTTTAATATATAGTGTACTTTACTCATTCTGA